GCTCTGCTCTTTCCAGGTCTGCTTTGCGTGTGGCAAGAGGGGGGCCACCATCACCTGCCAGGAGATGGGCTGTGACCGCAGCTTCCATCTCCCTTGTGCCATGGAGGGTCAATGCATCACCCGTTACCTCCTGCCATACAGGTACCTCCTCTACCCTTCTTCCCATCACCAGGGAAGGACGCAGCTCTTCTCATCTCACCCATCCCTTCCTTCTTCCCCTAGTTCCTTCTGCTGGGAGCACCGCCCACAGCAGCAAGAGCTTGTGGCTCCAGAGAACACCAACTGCCTCATCTGCCTGAAGCCTGTGGAAGGCAGAACAACCTATGGGACCATGGTGTGCCCAGCCTGCAAAGATGCCTGGTTCCACAGGGCCTGCATCCAGGTAGGAGCCGTCCCCTTGCTCTGGGCACGGCAGGCTCTCAGCAGCCCCAGATCCTCACTCATGCTCTTTCTGTTTCTTCTGCAGGGAATGGCTCTGCGTGCTGGCACTTTTCCCTTGCAGTGCCCTCTGTGTCAGCTGTGGAAATGTTCTTCATGGGGATCTGAATCCCCACAAGGTTGGTGTCCTCCTGGCCAGCACTGTGCCACGCCTGGACCTGCCCCCGCTGTTGTGGCCCTCCGCTGACCCCCAAGTGTAGGCTTTAGCTCCATAGAGGAGTTGGAAACAGGGTGTGCTTCAGCAGGGGCTTATCAGTTTTCCTTTCTCCATCAGACAAGCGTCATGGGAAGACAACAATGCATATGCAGAACTGTACCAGAGGCACAGCAGCTGCGATGCCAGGGAGTGCCTTTGTCCAGGAGGCAGAGAGGTGGCAGAGCCATACGGGTAAGCTGCCAAAGCTGCACCCTGGGGCTGGGCACGGGATCTCTCTCTCAGCAAGCGCTCAAAGCAGAAGGGCTGAGAACAAGATCTCTACTGGACAGTCCCCTGCTGTGGGCACTTTATCCTTAGAGACATGAACCCATTTCTTTCCCCAGGCCCTAGCAGCTGTTTCTGTGCAGCTCCTGCGCTGCTGTGGGCACTCACAGACAGTGCTCCAGCCTGAGGAACAGCTGTGCGGCCAGATGGGAGTGTGACAGCTGTGCTGGCCTGGGCACCTGCAAGTGCCAAAGCACCGGGCGCTCCTGGGCTGGAGCCAGGGGCCAGGCAAGGCCTGGCAGGGGGCCTGTCTGTTCCTGAGGGGCTGGGGCACCGCTCTGGCCTACCCTGCTCCAGGCCTGGGAGCCAAGCCCTTGATGTTCCTGCTTCCCCTTGTAGCCTCTGATGCCAGCTCAGAGCCTCCTGGTCCCAGCAGTGATGGCCCAGCAGCATCAGCACAGTCTCCTGGATCTCTGGAACTGGAGTTCAGCAGCCCCAGCCCCAGCAGCCAGGCAGCATCGGGCCAGACTCTGGAACCTCAGCCACAGGAGACCAGCAGCCCCAGCAGCGACAGAGAGGTGCCATTAGGACCATGTCACAGTTGCCCAGTGTGTGAGGGCAGCAGCCCCTCCAGCCACCCTGGGCCTGACCAATGGTGACACCAAACCCAGTGCACCCGTCAGACCCAGACACCCTACACATGGCTTAGAAGGCTGCAGGAGAGAAGCTGACTGCCAGCAACACGCGCTGCAAGCAGTACCCGCAGCCAGGCAGTGCCAAGGCTGTCCCAGTGCTCCCCATCACTTGACACCCGCAGCACCACCAGGCAGCGGCCATCAGCAGCATCCCGTGCCTCTGCACCACTGCGAAGAAGCTGGAGCAACAGAGCTGGTGGGCCCATGCGGGTGCAAGACTGCCGGGCCCAAACTCCCAACACACGGCGCAGAAGATGCCGTTAGAGCAGCCACACGCCAGTACCACGTGCAAAGAGGAGGACACACAGACAGGCTGTGTCAGGGCTATCCCAGCGCTCTGCAGCACATGCTGGCAGCTGCTGCAGCAGTGACAGTCAGGAGTCATCAGGGAGCAGCAGCTGCAGCACTGACAGCACTAAAGGCATTATAGCCATGCCACAGTTCCCTGGCACTACAACAATCGGGTCATGCCACGGCTCCCCGGTGTGCTCCGGGTTGAACTGTCACACCCAAGCTGCCTACACGCGGCTCAGAAGACAGCAGGAGAGAAGCTGAATACCAGCACCACATGATCCCCCTCCACCAGCACAATAAAGGTGGCCCTTCATCTCTGGACTCGGAGGCTCCAGGCTCCTTGGTTGGCTTCCTCCTCCTCTGCCTTTCTCAAGTGGCAGCATGAGGGTCTGGGCCCAGAGCACTGTCCTCTCCAAGGGGTTGGCACCCCCTTCCCCAGAGCTCCCTCTGCGCTGGTCGCCCTTGGCTGGCTGTCCAGCGCCTTGGCCGTGGGCTTCGGGCCTCGCCAGCCCCGCAGCCGGCTCAGTTTCCTGCTGCAGGTCCGCACCCTGTCCCGTTACCGGGGCTCTGCCCTCGAACCCTCAGCACCGTGCCCAGCGCGGCCTCCTGTCTCCCGGCAACGCGTGCTCCGCCCGCCCGTCCGCACGGCACGGCCCTCGCGGCTTGCCGTAGAGCCGCGTTGCGGCGGGGTTGCCGCGGCGGGGCTGGTGGTGAGTGTCACGGTCAGCGGGCCTACCCCTTCCCTGCAGGTTCCTATCCCCCCTGCGCCTGTACCTATCCCCGCCACTGCTGGGCCCTGCCGGGGGCTGCGCTTGCAGCCGCGTGTCTCGGGCAATGGCCGATCTCAGGGGGTGTCGTGCGGTGTTGGGGGGGGGGGCATCATTTCTGGCTTCGGAGGTTGCCGGCAGGTGTGGGTGCTCCCCCGAGTCGTGAGTGTGTGTTTGTGGTCATGGGAAGCGCTGCCGGGTCTGAGGGGTGTCTGTGGCTGCCGGCTGCCAGGTTTAGGGGTGTCTCTGGGCTGGGGAGTGTTGCTGGCCTTGCAGCATGCCGCAGGCTTCAGGGGTGCTGCCGTCTGTGGGGTGTTCCTGGGTTTAGAGTCGGTTCCTGGCTTTGGCCACTACTGCCTGGTATTTGTGGTTCGAGGGTGCTGCCAGGCTGGGGGTGCTACAGAGCTTGTAGTTTACACGGAGCAGGTTTCCGAGCTGGCTCCCGGATGGCTTCTCCCCTCTGCCCTGCGAGACTGGGAGGCCTCGGTCACCAGCTGCTGGACAAAGCTGTGTTTTCTGGCCCAGCTTCTCAGCCTCCTCACCTGCCTCCAGTCAGCTCAGCTTAAGGTCCGGCTTTCTCTGTGTTGTCTATTGTGGCCTCCTGCTGGAAACTGCTGTTTGTTGTCCAGAAAAGGGAGTTTAACCCGCGGCCAGGCTCAGAGCTGGGTGTCTTTGCTGGAGCTGCCAGGGCCGATTTTGTGAACTGTCCATGGCTCTAATGTGTATTCCCCCAATCTGCCCTTTCTCTGACCTGTTGAAGCCAGCTTCTGCCCCAGCCAAAAGAAACCCAAACCCTGGAAGTGCAGTAGTGCCAGGAATGCACCTCATACGGTGCCAGTGTGGCCATGATTTGCTCTCTGCCTGGGCATTCAGGCTGTGTGAACAGCATGGGTACGGAACTGGCTGCCCTTGGGAAGAGCTGGTAGCACTCGTTGCTACCCCTCAGGTGTTTTTAACTTGTCCTGACAGAGGTGAAGTCACATCTGTCACATTTAAAGTACTTATACGATAGCACGCATTGTACTGTCTGCTGTGCTTTAGTATTATGTGATGTGTTTATAGTTTAATTGTTCTCTTGCTTGTTTTGAGTCTCTGATGCCCATCAGTCAGGGTCATTGATCCTGTCTGGTATTTGCTTTGCTCCTGTATAGTCTTGACAGTGGCACAGGAGGGATGGTGGGCAGTGCTGCTGCACTGTTGGATGCTGTGGTGGCCCTGAGGAAAGGGGTTTTGGTAAATCCTTTCCTGAACCTCAAGCAATCTTCTGCCAGTGGAGCTGCCGAGGCACTTCTGTCACTTGACGAGTTCACTAACTTTTCTTGGGTTCACCTTAACTTCAGCTCTGTTTGAGATTGCCAGCAAGCCTTTGCTCCTGTTGCATCTTCCTGTTGGTCTGCATGCCACAAAGCATTTTGTCAGCAGCTGTCTAGTGATGGAGAGACTTCCCATGACGGTTGGCTGCTGGGGCAGTCAAGAACAGGAGAGGGGTGTAACGTAACCTTTTGAAGCTGGATGGAACCAGCACCTTGAATTTATTCTTTCTGTCCTGATGCGTGATGTCAGATCAGCTCTGGTAGCTTTCTTTGCATTCCCGTGATACCAGGAAGGGTCATGAATCTTTAGTCTCATGGTAGGTTTTCAGCTGTAAACCCTTCTGTGTATTTCTACCAGCGTCTGCTTTTTTCCATGTAAAAGCATCAGCTGGGCCTTTGGTTTTGTAGTCCATGGCATTGTTTTTTAGTCCAGTTCATCCAGCTTATATCAAGTTAGGTATGAGGAAGAAGCTCTGTACTGTGAGGGTGGTGAGGCACTGGGTCAAGTTGCCGAGAGCAGTGGTAAATACCCCATCCCTGGCAGTGTTCAAGGCCAGATTTAACAGGGCTTGGAGCAGCCTGATCTAGTGTGAGGTGTCCCTGTTTGTGGCAGGGGGTTGGAACTGGATGAGCTTTAAGGTGTTTTCTAACCCAAACCAGTTTGTGATTCTATGATCTGCATTTGTCTCATTCCTTCTCCCTCTCTCAATGTTTTGGGTAGCAGAATAATCTATCTGTTAAACAGAAGATTAACTAGGTGCATGTGTCTCTCTTAATAGAGAGTGGGAGAGGAAGGCAGAGGTGTCTCATGAGGACATGAGTAGCAGTGCTGTATGGTGAGCAGTTGTGATGGTTTTTGGCAGCTGTGGTAGCTGTGGCCTTGTGCTGGCTCAGTGCTTCTGGCTCAACGTTGGTGCAAAGGTTGCCTATTTCTGGCCTGGTTCTGCCTGTGCCCTTGGTTGAAGTCGGGTCTGTGTTATTGTCTGGAGTGTGGCTTCATACCTTGTTCTGCTTTGGGAAGATTTTGGGTTGTTGGATGGGTGGGGCTGAGGGCAGAGTTGGCAGTGAGTTGGCTTTGGTCTCCGGGATGATGATGTCAGTGCAAGGACTTTGGCTATATTTTGGCTTGCCCTTGCAGTTAAATCCAGGTACATCAGCATCCAAGAAAGGAAGAAGACTAAAGGCAGCATCCTCCCCAGCCAGTTCTGTTCTAGGCTTCTGTCTGTCTTACATCTGCTCTGGGAGTGGTGCCTGTGTAGAATGACGTCGAAAGGTGCTGGAACTGCTTTCTCAAGGAAGAACTACAGGCTGAGCACCGAGCCAGAGAAGTCCAAGGTTACAGGTATGGGCCTGTATGTGCTGGGTAAAAGTAGGACTGCTGTGGACCCAGTGAGCAGCCCTTACCTCACTTGAGATCAGCTGCCTTCCAGTTGCAGTTACCTTGCTGATGTGAGGTGTGCTGAAGCTGAAACTGAGTAAATTCGTGAATTGAGATTTTGGGAGGGACATTCCTGTAGTAAGAAGGACTTCAGAAAGTCCTGTCATGGTGCCGTTTCTTTGACACACAGCCCTGCCTTGTGAGGCTGGAGAATGTGTTGTTGCCTGCCTTCCTCCATCTGATTTTGGGAGTTCCCCTTCCAGGATGAACAGCTTGTCAAGTTCTCAGATTAATCCTTTTCTGGGAAATGTTGGTACCTGCTAGGCAGTCTGTTTTCTCTTGGACTCACCAATCCATCAGAATTGTGCTTATGAGACCACAAATCTGTCAAAGGAGACCACAAATTTGAGGGCACTGTTGCACCAGTGGGATTCCTGAGGATGTAGTTCCACTTGTGGGGACCAACTTACAGCCTCCCATTTGCTATTGTAGAGCAGCTCAAATTGGAAAGAGCCCTTGTTGAGGAGATGCACCCCATAAATGCTGACTCCGGGGCTGCTGGTGAAGACAGTGAGATGAGAACTGACTTCTTGAAGCTGTGTTTTCCACTGTGTTATCTGCAAACTTGAATATGATTTTCCCATAGTTACCAGTTTCTTGCTTACAAGTGAAACTTATGTTTGAGTTTACCTCCTGCCTCCCTCAGCTCATTTCCTTCCTGTTTTTCACAAGGGATCGTGAACAGTAGGCTGCTGAATGATTACCTGCATTGTGTCTTTACCAGTGCTGATGGGAACCAGCCTGCAGCTGCTTACAGGTATTGGACTTCTCATTCACTAGATAGCAAGTGATGCTGTATCAGTGCCCAGCTATATACAGCACTGTGGTGGAAGGAAAAGTATTTTATTGCCACACAGTGGTATTTGTTATAAGCACAGCAGCCCTGAGGTATAGAAATGATTCTTGGGTCTCGTCTTTTAACAGCTTTTTCAAATTGTGGGGCTTGCTAGGAAGGACTCTTCAGATTTGTTTTTGCATGAAAGAAAACCAACCCATACACAAAATCTCTAGGCAATTTTCCTGAGATAAACAGGCAGGTAGGCATTCACCTGATTGTTTCTGTTCCCTCTTTACTTGTAAGGAAGAACAAAATGCCCAGGCTCTAGGTACAAGAATGAAAAACAGGCTGTCAGTGCCCTGTAAACTGAAGTCAAGACTATTACTGATACATGGAATACCATGCATTTCTCAGGCTGTGGAACTGTTGGTACTTTTATTACTGGGAGCCAGCAAAGGAAAAGAATCACAAAATTCCTGTTTAGTGTCTGTTTTCTTTTATTTGTTTTCAGTTCTCCTTCATCTTGTAGGCCAGAAACTTGTAGCTTTGGATGAGAAAAATTTCCCTTACTTTTAGCTGCTTTGCCCGAGGCAAGTCACAGGTTCAGTTGCAGAGCAAGGTAGGCCTGTTGTTCCTGCTGGTTGGCTGTGCTGCTGAGTGGCTGGGCTCACTTTCCAGGGGCTATACTTAGTACTGCCAGCTCAAATGTGAGCTCAGAGCTGCTAAAAATAGCTGTTGGCCTTCTCCACTCTTGGAGAGTGAGGCTTATGGCAGGGGTTTGGCATGAGCTCTCCTGCCAGCATACCTTGGAATATTCCATCTGCCTGAGTGTTTTGGTTTTCAGTAATTTGAATTTCTTTCCCTGGTGATTAATGCCTTGAAAGCTCAGAACTGATAGTTTGTTGGATTAGTCTCTTGCTTTTTTCTTTCCTTTCTTCCTTCCAGCCTATTGCCTAGACTAGGCTATTTGGTAGAAAGGCCAGTAGCAGCCAAATAGGTCTTGAAATAACATTTGCCATATGAGAGAAATTTTATTGTATGACATCTTGTCTTCAGAGGCCTAAATTCCTCACAGAGGAGCTCACTGTAGACATCTCTCTGGCTGTCTCTTCTCCTTCCAGAACTCCTGCTCCATGCTAGCTTCTGATGAAGCTGCTCCACTGAAGGCACCCTCTCTCATGGCAATCGAAACTGATTTTTTGATTCCACTTCTGTGCATCTTCACCTCCATCAGGCTTACAAAAGGTCTATCACCACAGTCTTGGGAAAAGCTCTAGTCCTGCAGAAGTGAGACATTGTTCCACAGATGGAAGTGCAAAGTGATGTATTGAAAGGGGTACAACCTCAACATTGTGAATAAAATGGTCAGCCCTGGGCTGATCTTTACTGCAGTGGAATGAAATTGGGATGACAGACTGTCAGGAAAAGAAAGTAGGAAGTCAGGAATTGTTAGGAAAGGGACAAGGAGAATCATCATGAATAAATTTGTGGTTCACCCTCACCTCAAGTACCATGTCACTTTGGTCTTGCCAGATCCAAAAGGGTATTTTCATGCTGCAGGGGTTTTGAGGAAGGGTGAGAGCAAGTCAGGTGTCTGGGATGGCTCTTTCACAAGGAACAGCTAAGTGAACTAGCCTTGAAGAGAGAGAACTAGAGGAGGGCAGTAAGAGAAAGTACTCTAAAGTAGTGGCCCAGAGAGGGTGCATGAGAGAATTCTCAGTATGCAAACAAAATCGTTCTGGCTGATGCCAAAGCATGCTTTCTTACTGCCACAAAATACTCCTGAGCAAACTGAAGATTCTTTGTTAGCTACTTCGCTTCTTCCCGCTATGTTGAATCCTTGGTTCACTTATTGCCCCAACGTGGTGAGCAGCAAATTCCCCTGATTCGTCACAAGAAATACAGATGGATGGAACTTCCCAGTTCATGTCTCACAGCACAGGACTGTGTGGACACGTGTGTGGGCTGCAACTCTTTAAAACTTGGAGATAGAGTTTTCTGAATAACTCCTGTGCATGTGTATTCCCCAGAAAGCACCTGACGTTCCAGAACCTGCAGGAGCACCTTGACCGGTTGCTAGCAGAGAAGAGTGGCTCTGAAGACAGTCGAGGTAGGAGACACCGAGTGTCTGGTTTGCGCTTTCTGCTTGTACTGCTTAGTTGGGAGGACAAGTTCTATCATGAAAGGCAGTTCTCTGAGTGAGCCTTGTTCTGCTCTCCTGTGCTCTAATTTACTGTACCTTTAAATCCTGCCTGTGAGGGGCTCGTCAGCCATCCTTGAAGCAGGTTGCTGGTGGAAGCAGGGGGCATATTTTCAGGTGAAAATGCCTGGAAAAGCAGTTCGGGGACAAATGTTGAAGGTGTGTCACTGGTAATGACATACAGAGCCGTTGCTGTGACCAGCAACACGCAGTGTTTTCCTCAGTGGGAAATGCAGAGGCTTGTTGACAATTGTACATATTGGTCTCCACTGTAAGTATTCCCTTTAGGCCTCAGGCTGTTGCCTGTATTCTTGCTAGCATCCATTTCCCTGAATGAGTCAGGATGTGGCAGGATACAACCTGGCTCCTCTCCTAAAAATAACTTTTCTTGCTGGCTGCAAAGTGTGATATGTTGGCGAAACATTTGGCTCAGAGTTTAGTTTGGTCTTTAAATTTTGCCACAGTAAGATTTTGATGCGATGTGGAAAACTTAGCATATGTCCTGCATGTTGCATAGCTAAGACCTTACGTGTTGCTGTGGAAACCTCCTTTTAAATGTCACTGGTGTCTCCTTTCCAGAGGTTCTCTTGGGTAATGCTAGTTTAGTCTTCCTCCACTGCAGTAGAATCCAGGTGCTCTTGTAGGTTTAGCTGGAGACACTCATCAGCTGTACTGCTAAATCCTGCACAACTTTCCTTAAGAGTTTTTTTGCAACTCTTGTTTCAGATCAGGTAGCAGAGGGCCGGCTTGGTCCATCTACTGTGGTGTTGGACCACACAAGTGGTTTTGAGGGGCTTCTGCTGGTGGATGACGACTTACTTGGGGTGAGTGTGGTGCTGGGAGGAGCAGAAAATGGTCTTGTGGGACTAAAAGCACTTGGGGTTTCTTGGTTTGTTCTTCATAACAGATCCCTGTCATTAGCTTTGTAGTGTGTTGTAAATGGAGTCTACCCAGAAGGCTGCAGGATCCTGAAGGAAATGAGTTCTTTTGGGTCTGTCAGTACCCCTAAATCTCAGCAAGCTCTGAGTGGAGCTGCGAGGGAGTGAAAGGTTTACCCTGGTCCAAGGGCTTGCTGAAGAGCTTGCTCTAAGCAAAGGCCAGCAGTCAGCTTTCCTGCCCAGACTTTCAGCAGACTGCCTCTTCCTTCTGTTCTGGTGGCTAGAGGGTGCAGCTGAGGCTGTCCTTTCTCCTTCGTTTCCGCTAGCTTGCTGCTTGCTCCTTAGGTGGTGCTCCTCATGCAGTAAATCAGTGGAAAGAATCCACTGGAGTGTAATTCTTTCCTACTTGATCGATTTCTGCACTCCTTTCACCCCTTCACTGAGAACAGTGTTCCTGTGCTCATTCCCTCCTTAATCAGTGTATCATTTTTTACTTCTAGCAGGGGAGGCTGCCCTGGTCTCCCTTTTCCCTTTGACCGCCTGCGGTAGCTTACCTTGGCTGTACCTAGAATTTACCTTCATGCTGGATCAGGCTGACTTGCCTGTGATTTCCTTGTTGCTACCTTCACCTCTTCTTCATGGTCTGTTATGTTACCTGCCATTCCTCTGCCTTTAGTCTGGATGTCCTGAATCTATAGGGTTTTTCTAAGTTGTCCAGGTTTCAGATGTCTTATATATAATAGTCACTTTTGAATACCTGTCACATCTCAGTAGGAACCTGTCGTTCACAACATTGCCTTTGTACTGCTGCCATGTTGCATGCTTCACTGCACTTCGAGTATGGATGAGCTGTGTGAAGGACCTGGATGTCTTCCAGGGCTCTGAGTACAGCTGCTGGGATGGGGAAGATGTTCCATCTCTTTCCTACACTGTGCTTGTCAATAACTCTCCATCTACCTTTTTGCCTGATTTCAAAATATCTTTTGTTTGTTGGTCCAGGTGATTGGCCACAGTAACTTTGGGTCCATCAGGGCCACGACGTGCGTGTATAAAGGTAAGGAGATAAACCAGCTATGTGTTGAGAAAAGACCCTGGAAAGAATGTATGGAGAGTTACACAACTAGAGAACTCAGGAAATCTTGAATATGTTTCAGATCTTGAATCTTCTCTCCCCACCTTCATCCACTGGCTTGTCCAGGAAGTCAGAAGGATGGAGGATTGTGTGATGCTGGAGTGAAGAAGTGGGAGGGGCATGCTGGGGATGTCCCGAAGCTCCTTTGAGTGTCACGTTTATTTCTGTGGGAGCAGCGTCAGGTTTGGCTTCTCTGACAATGAGCCAGGCAGCAGGGAGTCACTGTGTGGCATCTCTTTCTTTCAGGGAAATGGATTTACGAGGTGCTCATCTCTTCCCAGGGACTCATGCAAATTGGCTGGTGTACTCTCAACTGCAAATTTAATCAGGAGGTAGTGTAACTGCTGCACGTGGCACAGGGTTGCTCTGTGTTCCTCTACCGCTTCTTAGGTCAGTGTGGAGCATTGCATTGGTGCTGTGCTCCTGCCCTGCTGGCACGTGGCACCCAGCACGCACACTAGAAATACAAGATCTGCTGCTTTAGAGATCTTTACTAGACTCTCTGGTCTGTGTTCAGAGTGGTGCAGGCTGTGAAAGTCTTGTACACTGGGTGTGTTGCTGTGCTTTTGCTGCACATAGCTACAAAGTGCTGACTTTCTGCTGGCGTCATCTCTGGAGAGGGTGTGGGTCTGCAGTGCTGGCAGCCAGGCTCTTGGGGTGGCCCTCATCAGCTAGTGCTGCAGGGCTTTTTTGCCCAGGAGGGGCAGGCCCAGGCCAGCTCTTGGGATGTTTGGTGCTGGGAAGGGATGTCAGGTGCAGAGTTTCATTAACTTGCCACTCTGCAACATATGAAAGAGGAGGTGATGGTCATTCTTCTGGGCTGCTTTGGCAGAAATTAGAAGTGTAGGATGCCAGTACTCTTCTTCTAACCCCAAAATGAATAGCAAAATGAGCCACAGATCACAGGCCACTGGATATATACTAGAATGAAGATTTTTCTCAGGTAGAACATGTGTGCTGTCAGCTGCTTTGGTCTCCTCCTTAAAGATGCCCTTGCAGTAAGAGGGATCCCCCATGCTTGGTCTGGTCTGAGTCTCCTCTTTGATACTTTGGTGCAGGAAGGAGTTGGAGATACACCAGATTCATATGCATATGATGGAAACAGGGTGCGCAAGTGGAACGTGACTACCACCAACTATGGCAAAGTGAGTAGCCGTCCTCCCAGAAACGGGTTGCAGAGGAATGAGAAGGAAACAGGTGGCTTCTGCTCCAGGGCCTTGTGGAACGCCCTCAAGCTGCCCTTCCTGCTTCAGTCTGCTCTTTTAGAGGCTCAGTGCCAGCAATTGTTTGTACTTTAGGGGTGCTGGACATGCTGTCTGGGTGCTTTGTTTAGCAGCCTCAGCAGACTGATTCCCACTATAGTGCTGCTGTTGGACTCTGGAAGGTTCTGGTTCTCTGTAGCACACCAGAGGATGATGCAGTGTTGGGAGAAATACGTGTTTGATCCTGTGCATGTTCCTGTTGCTGGAGGGAAAAAGATCCCAATCAGTGGCTTACATGCAGCTTTCAGAGAATTCTATGTGAACTGGAGTGAGAAGGAGCTCTCTCTTCTTCAACCCTGAAACCCATGGGATTGGTTGTGTTTCAGACACTCTTTTGATGTGGGAACAGCCCAGATATATATTTAACCTTTTCTCTCCCTTTACTGCAGTCTTGGGCAGCAGGAGACATCGTCAGCTGTCTGATAGACCTTGATGAGGGCACCATTGCTTTCTGCTTGTAAGCATTTTTGCCCAGTTGCCTGCTTTGTTGATGTCTGTGTGGTGTGAAACATCAAGGTTTCCTCACTGCTTAGCAGATTGCTGAGCCCTATTTCTGCCCTCTCCCCTTTTAAGTTCTTTGGTAGTTCCATCCTGTTGCTTTTCTGTATTACATTCAGAAACCATCTAAATGGGCTGTTGAGTCTCCTAAGTTGAGGTGGGAGCATTTGGCAGAAAGATTTTCAACCTACAAAGTTTGCTAGGATTTTGAAGGGGAGGGCATCTCTTTTGATGCTTAATACTACAGCTGGCTGAACCACACTGATTGCTTTTGTGGTCGCTGTAGACATTGCCTGTCCTCGATTCACAAGGAGAAGTGGAAAGTCTGATGAATCTCTAGCCTCCAACTCCCATGCTCAACAGGAAAGGCCAGGCTGAATAAGAATTGTTCCCTGTCCGTAAACTACAGCCTGGACAAGTCAGATGGAATTTAAAACCATTAGTTGCTCCATGTCATCTTTGAGAGAAGAGTAGATTGAGAGCATTATCCTTCTATCTCCACCAACATAAATGGATGAGGCCAAAAATCTCACCTGCCTTTCAAATGACCTGCTGGTTATCTTGTAAGGATTTGGGTTGCCCTTGAAGCTTCATGGGCTCTGCACGTTGTGCAGACTCCAGTGCCTGCCTGTATGAAAACAGGAGTGTTGATGTGCTTCTCATGGCTGCTACTCAGCAGAGCTGTGGTGTTTGCATGTGTGACAGATTAAGAGTGATGGGAGGCATGACTGACTGGTGTGTATGTGTTGCCATGTTGCTGGGAGGGGAAAACAGATACCTGAATTGCCCAGTTGGCCTCAAAACCCTCCTGTTGTGACTAAAATGTTGTGGGTTTTCCTTCTTTCAGGAACGGCATGTCTCTGGGGACTGCTTTTGATAACATCACGAGGGGTGCTGGAATGGCTTACTTCCCTGCCATCAGTCTCTCATTCAAAGAATCCGTGGCTTTTAACTTTGGAAGCCGTCCACTCCGATATCCTTTATGTGTGCAGAGAGGAGGTCTCAGGGGAGAAGAACATGTCCTGAGACCATCTTTGGAACCTGAAAAATATGCGTACCTGACTGCAGGTCACTTCCTTCTGTTTGTACTTGTTCCCACAGCAGGGTCATGGAGACAAGAATCAGATACATCCTCAGCTGGAGCAGAACGTCAGGGCACACAAACTTGAGTGCTGGTGCCTGACAGCTTCTGAAATGAGCTTTGCTTTCAGCTCTGAATGAGTAACTACTGCTGCAGCCTGGGGCTGCCTGTTCCCAGACACCCTGATCCTTCAATAGTCTCACTGTCCAGTTTTGGAAGCCCTAATACTGGTGAGCCTCTTGGCCACTGGTCTTTTCTACTTCCTATCCATATGGGACTTCTGGCATGGTGTTAACAATAGTGAGGAAGTGGGGATAAGAGCTTGTGGCTTACCATCCATTTAGATGGCATTGAGGTTTGAACTGTGACTGAGGCATGTGTGGGTATAAAGTAAAATAGAGACTCAGTCTTTTCCTTGCATTAACAAAAGAAGTGCTGAAAGGATCAGATTGCATTTTACCTTAACACTTGCCTACTTATCCAGTGGAAGGTTACTGCCCTTTGCAAGATCCTCCTGCTGCAGACCTAGTGAAGGCTCACAAGCTGCTAGGCTACTTGAAGAATGTGATCCATATTGGAATAGATGTGACAGTAAGCTGTTGTTCCTAGGTGGAACTGTGGGGCACCACAGTGGAAAATGTGGTTCTGCACTTCTCAGCACATGCCGACAGCTCAGATGTTTCCACGTAGCTGGAGTCTAAATGTATGCTTTTGCATAAGCTGTGCACATTAGCTTACAAAATGGGATTCCTAATAGTTCCAGGACTTAATTTAAATCATACTGAGTTTTACTGTTCTCAATCCTGCGAGGTTTCAATCCCAGTGTACAAGAAGTGGTGTTTGGCAGGGTCAGAACTGCTGGATTTACTTTTGCAGCCTTAAGAGAAGCTTGTTCATATTCTAAACTTTTTACTGCTTTCCTAGTGATGTGGTGAAATCCTGGCAGGTCTGCCTTGAGAACTGTCATGGCTGCAGCACTGTTGACTCTGGGAGATGATCAGTTTATGCCATCTGCCATGGTTGTGGCTTGAATGGAGACCTGCTTTACTAGATGACCTCCTCTGCAGGGATTCCCATTTACAACCTGGGAATCATCTACACTTAAAACCCTTCTGGAAAAACCTTATCAAGGTGTATCTATGTGGCTAATAGTAACTGACATCTGTACTGCACGACAGCTCTCCAGAGGCATGAGCCTGACTGCTTTGCCTTCCTGAATGCCCATGTTCAAGGTTTTTACTGCAGTCAGCCTGTAAAAAACAGTGGCTGCCCTAGCCTTCTGGTTCATTCAGTCACTGGTGGATTGGGCTGGATCCAAGCTGTGTGTTTTCCTGCGTTTGTCATTGCAGGAGGGGAAGCTAGTGGAGAAGGACACATCCATGTGGCAGCTTCAAGGAGAACCCACAGTGTTGATTACATTAGCCCACATATTCAATTATTTCTCCCCTCTTCTGGTGAGTTTTGTCCATCTATTAAAAGCTTCTGTAGATGCCTGTTACTGTGCTTGCAAGGGGAGATAAACCTCAGCTTTTTCTGGGAGGTGACTGTGCCTTGGAGTACTATTTACATGTCTCTCTGTCTTAGTGCAAGGTGTATCTGGTGGAAGATGTGCTCATGACCTTCCTGTTGAGCATCCTTGAGCGAGGAGGGGCAGTGGAGGCCCATCCCCTTATTCAGCAGCTGCTGGATCTCATGTGGCTTCTTATGGAGGTGAGTTGCTAGAGTGCTGGTTCTTCCCCAGGGATCACAAGGAAACCCTGGGAGGAGGTTATGCTGAGGACAGGGTTCAATAATGAATGACTCAGTACTGAACGGTAGTAGTGATACTAACAAAGAGCTTACAAAGCATTTCTAAGCTTTTCCTACTGCCAAAGGAACTGGTTAGGTTGAGTAACTTCCTGCTTCTGAGAACATCAAATTTATCAATAAGAAGTGAGTTGGTCTCTTGGGTGTTTTTGATCCTTACATGATTGTGGAGGTCCTAAATTCCACCATGTGCCCCAGGAGATAGATCACAGTGTGCAGCACTGGGGTGGAAATGGGCACTGCACTTTCACTACCTCCAGCACCACTGGGAAAAACCCTCCAATTTCCCATGGCCCTTTGTGTGCAAGCTGGATGTGGTCACTCATTGTAGGGACACTTGTTTGGGGCAGCTTTTACTAGCCACTGGAAAGCTGCTGCTGCTGGAGGGCTGTGAGGAGCCAATCACTGCCAGAAATCTACTTGGAGACAGCAGATTTCCTTTGTCCTTGTCCTTTGGGGTAGCAGTTAACAGATGGACAATTAACAGCACTGCTGCTTGGCTATGAGTTGGACTCAAAAAGGCAATTTCGTCATCACATTTACTTCTTTCTGAGTTTGTTCTCAAAGATGGTATGTTTGTTAGGCTCAGGGGATATGAAGATAGGAGACTGCCCAGCTAAAGAGGACCTGGGACTTTGGGGGTTATTTTAGGTGATTTTGGGGTTTGTTTTACTAGTGCATGCTTTTCTGTAGCAAAGCAGTTGCACCAACTTCTGCTTGGACTCTCCTATGGAGTCAGATGGACAGCCACTGTGGGTTCAGAGTGCCTGCTTTTTCAAATCTGAAGTGAATGCTTCCCTCCAAGGTCATGCTCTGGGAGTTGCAGCTGTTCCCTACTCGATGCTGCTGCTGTTTAATGTGTTTGTTATTTTCTCAGGAGTATGAAGTGCACGAGTGCCTCAAGCAGCTACTGATGTCCCTGCTGCGGGCTTACAGGTTCTCCCCCATCGTCCCAGACCTGGGATTACAAGTGAGTTGCACTTCTGAATCCCCAAGAATCTGTGACTAGGCAGCATCCGTTATGTCCCCTTGTCCAAAGGTACATGATGTTTCTGATATTGCAGTTGTTTGATCTAGAAATAGCAGTTCTGTCACATCGGATCTGTTGGAGAGTCATAGCCTGTTCTGCAGATGGAGTCACTTTTGCTTTTTCTGTTTCCTTAGATTCACTACCTCCGGCTCACCATAGCAGTCTTGAAGCATGAGAAATCCAGAAAATACTTACTCAGCAATGTTCTGTATCCTTTGTGCCTCCTAGTCTCAGTTCTCCCTGCCCTCAGTAATGCAGGCAAGGAGGCTTCAAGGATTTGAAGGTCTTGGGAGGCAGAAGCCACCCTGTCTTTGAGAAGTCCTTTTTAATCGCTTAGGTTTCCTCTGTCAGTCTGACACCATTCCCTACAAGGTCCTGCTTTGAGGAGGTGGAGCAGTGTCATATAGTTCACATCCTAGTCACACAGAGAGCTTCATTTCTACCTGACTGACGTCTCTAATGTCACTAGAGCAAAAATGCTTTCAGAGCAGTCCAGCTGCTGCGATAACTGCCTGGGGCTTGTCCCAGGAGAAAGGGGCTCTTGATCTGGTAGACCTTTGAGTGGTTGTTTGGAAAGGAATCTCTCACTACAGCTCTGGAAACAAACCCTGTATATTGTCCTGACGTGCATAGCTTCTGTGCTTGCTTTAACTCCGCTGCAGCTTTGATGTGCTCCGTTCTGTTGTATTCTTCTACATAAAGAGCCCACTGCGTGTGGAGGAGGCTGGTTTGCAGGAGCTCATTCCAACCACATGGTGGCCAAACCGCTTCACCAAGGAGGTGAGTAAAGGCACTTCCACTAAGCAGACCGAAGAAATTCTGTGGCCTGCTGCCCCATCATTTTCTGGCTGAGGAGATTGATTGGCCGATGTTTCCAGCTGCATTAGTACTGGTGCATCCTTCAGAGTTGTGTGAGAGCTGTAGCCTGTCCATTGCGCTGTCATCTTTACTGTCACCTTACAGGAGGTGTTTGGAGTGTGTTGCTTAGGGCAGGGAAGGGGGGCATTTTCTATGCCAACAGATCTGGAAGGAAACCTCACAGCATCTAAGGAATTCCAGGTTGACATGGGTATCTTCAAAAGATCTCCTGCCCTTACTAATTACAAGGCCAGGGAAGGCCTGTTTAGGTTTGCTGCCAGTCACACACTGGTATGTTGTTTCAGAGAGTTTCTGCTCTCCATTTGGCAAGATGTTTTCCCTGTGAAGAGTTCTTCTAGTAATCAGTGTCTGTCCCCCAACCAGGGCAAGGAAAGTAAGGACGTGAAGGAGGAAAGTGCTGAGGAGAGACTGAGGCGGCGGGCGTATGAAAGAGGCTGCCAGCGGCTGAAGAAACGCATTGAAGGTCTCTGAGGAAGAAGGGAAATTGTCAAGATCCCCAATCTTTTGTTCAGTCAAAGGGACCAACCCTTGAGCTGTTTCTAAATTCCCATCACAACGTGAGGTCCAGCTGTGTTCCTGCCAGGATGGGGTGTGCTGCAGAGGTGGGGGCGAGCCATGCCATTATCTGATAGAGGGTTAAGAGTGCTGGGACCCATGTGCACAGGCCTGCAGCATCCCATCACAGAGCCAGACTTGCCTTCAGGGGTATTGTTTATGTGGATGGATTTATTGCTGGGTGGTGGGAGAGAAAATTCTCAGTGATGTGATCAGCTTCTGCTGGCACCGGTTCTTCCTGGGCCCCTCTGCAGATAAGGTGGCCTTTCTCCTTGGGAAGATGGTACTGCAGTTGGGGTTAGCGTGGGTAGTTACTCTCGAGTGCTTGTTTTCTGATGGCAGATGTTGTCTCCATTTTAGTGGTGGAAGGTCTCCAGGTTCAGATTCTGAAGCTGCTGCTGAACAACAAGGACAGAGGAGGGGTAAGTGCTCTGTGAATCTTTCGCTGCAGTATCCCCACATCACAGGACTTTTAAGGCGTAGATTTACCGCCTGCTTTTCCTCCTGCCAGGGGGAAGCCTCCAGATACATCTTCCTAAACAAATTCCGCAAGTTTCTTCAGGAAAACGCTAGCAATAGAGGGGTAAGTCAGAAGGTCAGCCTTCCCTCAAGCCTCATCCTGAGAGCTCTCTGGCACCTTCAGACTGGGAGCTCAGCCCTTTTGACCAGGCTGCTTCCAGCAACTGATAACTGAGGTCTAGATACGGCAGCGAATGGGGAGAAGGTCTAAGGCTAGAAGCCAGGCAACTTATCCAAGTCCTATGCAGTCATTTGTAGGAAGGTCGTCCTTGGGCACAACCTTAGGTGGGAGCTGAATGACCTTCTAAAACCTCTCAGGGAGCACGGCTGTGGAGTGCTCTGTGGCCTGCTGGCTTTGGCATCCTCTTCACTGCCTGGGTAAGGACTCTTCTGGCCCTGGAGTAGTTTGTTGGGCTGCAGGTTTGGGTAGGCATCTGCTGTTGCAGGAAACCTTTCTTTACCTGCATCTCTATTCATGATCAGCCCTGTATTTCATGGTGGAGCATGTTGTATCCATCCTCCTCTGTCAGACCAGCTTGTTGTTTCAGTGACCAGGACTTTCTAGGGGTGGAAACTGCTCCCTACCATTAGGGCTAGCCTCTCTACCAGTGCTGGATGCTAGAGATGCTAGCAAGGCTGAAATCACCAGAGTTTCTGCTTGTACCGTATGTCCACTGGGACTAAGATGAACTTTCACACTTGTCCTGATGGCTGAACTCTCATTCGTGCCCTAGAACTTGACTGTGTTGTGCCCGCCAGAGTACATGGTGTGCTTCCTGCACCGCCTTATTGCTGCCCTGCGTTTCTTCTGGGATGGCCACAAGGCAAAAAGCCCAGCCACAGTGAGCAGTGAAGGTAAGGCCTGGAGGAGAAGCTTTGAAGGCATTTGTGTGGTTAGGACAAGGCTTACCTCTTGGCAATGCTCTCCAAGATGCTGGAAATGTTCTGTTTCTCATGGGTGCCTGAGCCGTCTGTCACCCTGTTTCCGTAGTTCCCGGTCACCCTGGGAAATTCCTGTGTGCAGACCTATTCCAGTAAACATCCAGACATGAGGCTTGCAAAGGGGCACCTGTACTGTTTGCTGTTTCTCCTTGTCTGCTCTGGAGCAGAGTCTAGTATTGATTATGGGTCTATAGAAGGGCAGCTCAATGATCCTGTAGTCAAAGTTTAGGGGAAGATATTTGTCTGGTTTTGTGATTCCCAGACAGTGGGATTAAGGGGAAACCAAATCAGTGCCAGTTGCTTTCCCACTCTCAAACCCTGCCTTGCCTGTCCTGCCATGATCTGCTTGGCACTCCCTTTTCTTTCTTTAGGCTGGCCTTTTCTCAAGAGTCAGTAAGTGCCTTAATGATTCCTGTGGGACTAAGTGACAGAGCTAGAGTAGCCAGATGGAGAGCTGCCGGGGTTTCTGATGATCCAGTTTCCTCCAGTCACTGTTGCTGGGAGGGAGGAAGTGCTAGGAGGTTTGTTGTCAATGACCATGGGTTGCTTCTGTTTCTGAGTGGATCTAATGCTTGCTTCGCTGTGGAAATCACCTCTGCCTTAACAGCTTGTGCTTTATGACAACAAAAGTTGTCACTGAATATTAGTCCAGGCTGGGCCCTGGGGTCTGTCACAGGAAAACTTACATATCTGTGTGGATCCTGAGTATGTGACTCATGGAAGAATGAAATCTTCTCTGCTTTAGAGGCATATGTCCCTCCTCAACTATTCTATAATGGCAAGGTGGATTATTTTGACCTTCAGCGACTTGGAGGTCTCCTGTCTCATCTTAAGAAGACTCTGAAAGGTAAATGGTCTTACTTCCAATAGCTGCATCCAGGTCCTGGCTGGAGTTCATTTGAGAGACATCCCAGGGAGGGAGGGAACTGCAGATAGTGAATTGTGATTAAATTTAAGGAAAGGAGACTTGAATTTGAATGAGATGCAAGTTATGCTGAAGAAGACACCATCCCTCTTGGGTTGAGCATCCTTTAAATTAACAGTTTACTGTTTATATCCCTGAATGGGGCATGTGACTGGTGGGGCAGAGTCATCTGGAAATACCCTCTGGTGTGGTGCTCTTGTTGCACCATAGCCAAGGGCTGGGAGCTGTCAAAGAGCTGACCATCTGCCTGGCTTTGTTGGGTGTGAAGGATGTGCAATTTACTTGCTGTACCACTCACGGCAAGCAAGAGCAGCCCTGTGTATATACTGCAGCTGTGTGGTTGTACGCAGCATGCTACTCACACATAGACATCCCTTTTGGAAGGTTAGAAACCCCTTGCCATTCCATTGGACTTGGTTTATCTCTGGTTTTTGGCTCATGTGGCACTTGCCTTTAGCTCAGATCTCCTTTCCCATTGTGTTTGCAAGATTCAGGAAATGTTCACTGTCTCAAGTTGCTCCCTGGCTGTTCAAAATTAGATTACTTAACTTGAGAACCATGTCATCTCCTCTGGTCTCTAACCAAGGTCTTCCTGGCCAGCTTTAAAGACAAGGCTATAGATTAGAGGACACATTGTTCAGGCTTTGTGCAGCATAGCCACCAGCACAGCCTTCCTCTGAGCTGAGAATGGTTTCTGCTCTGAGTCACAGTCCTAGTGACTTTGGGACGTATAATGGGAGAGCATTGAAGAGCTGGGTGCTTAAAAATGGTCTCAGTCTCTGAGTTTCCTTCCCTCTGGTAGTTTGTTTTGGTCCTGGTGGTTGCCCTCTGGTTCCTCAGTTATTCTATTTGTTGCTGGTAGGATCAGGAACAGAAATGGGTCCTGGGTGAGCAGCACCCATTGCTGCTTCGTCTCTGCTGTGTTAGCAAGGGCAGACCTATCCCACATAAGGAAGCTGGGGGGAAGGTGAGCTTGTTCTGGTACAGCATCCTTCTCTACTGCCAAGAAGCAGGAGAGAGGATGAGCCTAGGGCTCTCTCATGGGAAGCAAAGAACAATTCCTGTGTTTACAGCTGCTTTGATGTGCTCTATGCAGATGACCTGGCTACAAAAGCCAATGTGCTGATTGACCCTGCGGAGCTGCAGGCAGTCACTATGGATGATCTCGATGAAGATGAGGAATCAGCAACATCAGCAGCACAAGTGAGCCAGGATTTACTGTAATTCACCTGTGGGGACTCTGGTGCTGGCACAGCAAGCTCGGCCTCTGCCTAGAAAAGCTTTGCCTTAGAGGAAAGCAGAGTCTGGGCCAGGACTCTTAACAGTCCATGGACAACCAAATAAATAGCTTCACTTGCATGAGGGTTGCTGGAGATCAGCCAAGTCCTGGATGCACGAAGTTTGAGCAGTGAAATTTTCTTTGCTCTGCTCTCACTACCCATTGATCTACGTACGTCCCTTCCTCTCCATGGCAGGTCTTGGTGGTTGCATTTGAAAGGGTGCGAAGCAGCTGCAGACAGAGCAGCTTCTTGGTTGCCAAGCTGCTGCTTGTACTTGGCATGTGCCCTTAGAGGAAGGAATATCCGGTTGCTAACATGGCACTGTGGGCCTAGACTTGATAGGGAAGGTACCTGCTCACCTTCCAGTGACTACTGTTAATCTTTACCAACACCTTTGCAGGCATAAGGGAGGAATAGTGGGCAGCCAAACAGCTAGAACTGTTTCTTCCTCCATTTCAGTCCCAGCGTCCCTCTGCTGCCCTGGCCATTGGAGGAGCTCTTGCCAGACCTGGCTGGCTCAGCTCCCCCACTTTGGGCCGTGCCAACCGCTTCCTCAGCACAGCAGCCGTCAGCCTGATGAACCCACGGCGGCCTCTTGGAGCTCTGGAGAAGATTAAAGTGCGCACACTAAGTGTGGAGCAGCGGACAGAGGAGGACAGTGAGTACCTCTGCTGCATGCTAGTGTGGCCCAGGTCATCCCTGGGAGAATGGCATTTTCCACTCCCAGTATTCTCAAAAGGAATGCAATCTATTTACTTCCAGCTTTGCTGACACCCACAAGTCCATAGTTAACTGATTTGTCATCCTGAATGTGACACTGGGGATGCTGTCACCTTCTGCATGTTAGGAGATGCTGCCTTGTTCCTGCAAGTGCAGTGAGACTTTGCAGAGAGGTAATTCAGAAAGAGCTGTAGACACACTTGCTCTGAACACAGACAGGCTGGATGATGATGGGTGCAGTAGCAGCACCATTGCTGCTGTGTTGGGCCAGGCAGGTCTCTGACACATGTGGAGGGCTCAAGAAAGTTGAGGGGGAGAAGTGATTCAGAGCAACCCTGCGAAGAAGGACTTGGGGGTGTTGGTTGATGAGAAACTGAACATGAGCTAGCAATGTGTGTTTGCAGCCCAGAAAGCCAACCGTATATTGAGCTGCATCAAAAGGAGCATGACGAGCAGGTGAAAGGAGGTGATCCTGCCCCTCTACTCTGCTCTCATGAGACCCCACTTGCAGTACTGTGTACAGTTCTGGTGTCAACTAAGAAGCACATGGAACTGTTGGAACAAGTCCAGAGAAGGGCCATGAGGATGATCAGGGGACTGGATCACCTCCTGTATGAAGACAGGCTGAGAAAGTTGGGGCTGTTCAGCCTGGAGAAGAGAAGGGTGCGTGGAGACCTCATAGCAGCCTTCCAGTAACCGAAGGGGGCCTACAAGGATGCTGGAGAGGGACTCTTCATCAAGGACTGTAGTGATAGGACAAGGGGTAACGGGTTCAAACTTAAACAGGGGAAGTTCAGGTTAGATCTAAGGAAGAAGTTCTTTACCGTGAGGGTGGTGAGGCACTGAACAGGTTGCCTAAAGAAGTGATAAATGCTCCATCCCTGGCAGCGTTCAAGGCCAGGTTGAACGGAGTGTGGGATGACATAGTTCAGTTTGTGGTGTCCCTGCCCATGGCGGGAGGGGGGGGGGTGGAACTAAATGATCTTAAGGTCCTTTCCAGCTCATACCATTCTGTGATTCTATGGATCTGTTTGAACAGATCCGGCAGGTCAGTCTGATGCATGCAGTGAGATGGGAATGGTATGTTAGTGTATCTAGTAAACCACACGGGCTGGGAAGGGACACTGTGTTAGAAAGACACAGCAGAGCTTTGGCTTCAGAGGGATGCAGGCAGAAGCTGAGATGCCAGAATGCCTTGCTGAGAATCTCTATTCTGTCTGGGGAATGCATTGCAGTTGAAGGCAGCCATGGAAATGAGGGTCTCTTACTGGGCAAACCCCCAGAGGAGCCAGATCAGCCCATCACAGAGAACTCTCTCCTGGAAGTCCTGGATGGGATAATCATGATGTACAACCTCAGTGTCCACCAGCAGCTTGGGAAGGTAAGCAGGAATCCATTCCCCCAGCATCCATGCTTCTACACTGTTTCCTGCTTATTAGGTGACTGTGTGTGCTCTTTTCTTCTCCCAGCTTCCATGGGGGATCTGGCTGCATGCTTATATGTCTAGGACAAAATGCCCTCATTTGTGGTTGGAATCTGCTGTTTTTCAGATGGTTGGTGTGTCAGATGATGTGAATGAATATGCCATGGCGCTGAAAGACACAGAGGAAAAAATCAGCCGCTGCCCAAAGAGGGTAAGTGTCTTTGGATTTCCAGCTTCCTTCTCTAGTAAGCCTCAGTATCTAGCAAAAAGGATGAAGCACAGTGAGTGATTTCTAGCCTTGGAGCAGCCAATGTCTTGAATGGGGTAGTAAACTGTGCCTGGAGCTGGCAGCTGCATTTCATACTGTGCTAACCCATTGTACCACAGGCTCAAGGAGCAAAGGGAATGAAGCAACCACTTCAGCTTCTCCCAGACAAGCCATGGCAGCTTGCAAACTTCCACGTGCTGCAGATAGATGCCTTGGAGATGGGTTTCTTGTGATGGGAACTCTCCAGTGCTGTCCTAGTCCAGCTGCAGGAGACAGTGTATCTGATGATGTTAAAAAAGTATCTGACAGTAGGTGACTCTAAAGCTGCTGCCCACCCTGGGCCAGCATCTGCATCAGGCCTTGTAGGCTACTTCTGAAGCAGATAAGTGCTCTTTATAGCACTGATTCCCACTGTCTACGTAGGAAGACTGCTGATCACTTTCCCTCCTGCCAATACTCCTTAGCTAGCCCGAAGGTGGTATTTGCTTTTGCATTGTTTGTCCAGCTCTGAAAAAAGGTGCTGTAAATGGCAGTGGCATCTGCCCTCACATCTCTGCACTCTTTTCAGAGGAGAGACATCCATGAGGAACTGCTGAAGAGCCAAAAGGTTTTCTCTGAGAAGCTCAATCACCTAAGCCGACGCCTTGCTTGGATAAATGTCACCATTTATTCAAAGGTGAGTGTAATGTGAGTAGCTCAGGTGAGACCAAGCCAGGTGCTTCTGTTTCTGTGCTGCTTGGCTCACATGTCACAAGTGTCATTTTCCATGGTGTTGGAGCATTACCAGTGATCTCTGGGGCTTGGTTTTCCCTTCTTGTGCATCAGAGACTCCCTTCTTAGGCCTGAGCCCTGCCTGTCCCAGACTTGGTCCCATTGTGTTTGTTAGGGCATAGCCCAGTCTGTTCTGGGCTGTGCATGGTGCTGTAAGCTTTTCCTTGGAACATCAGAGGGTGCAGGTCGAAGGGAGATTCAGTTCTTGGGGTATGTCTAGAGGATAGAGGCTACTTTGAACCATTTCCATGAGCTATGCTGTATGTCACAGGGGGATCTCTTTAGTGCTGCTTTTCCTGAAATTTAAAGTATCCAAGCCTCAGTGATTCTGCTCAGGTGTTCTCTCCTTCACTTGGTTCCCACATAGAGAGAGTGCATTCTGCAGTTAATAGTGCAGTGACTGTTTGTACAGGTTGTCTTTTTTTTCCCTGCACTCACCATTTTCCAGGCTAAAATCTCTGGTGTGTTTTCTCATCAGCAGTTTTGCTGTTAGACTGTGCTGATTTCCCTGTCTTCCCTTGAATATTGCCTTGCCCCATCTCTGTAGCTTTTTTTTGTGCTGGGGAAGAAGATATGTTTTCCTGAACATGCTGTGGTAGCAGGGTTCCCTGAGCATGCATGTGTCCCAGGTTGTAAACAGGATGGGTAGCTTGTATGAGCACATTTGGCAGAGCTGAAGTGGCTGGTCCTGACTCATGAGCTCTTTGCTTGTCCCCTCCTTCACTCCCAGAGCAGGACAGCAGGGCACAGTGCTGTACTGCAGAAGCTCTCCAGCTCCATTAGCATAGCCCACACTTGCCAAAAAATAGGCCTTTCTTCCCAGACTGTTCTTGAAAGGCAGAGGGGCATTACCAGTGTATATTGCAGGTATCACCACAATGCCCATGCAGAAATACTGTTCATGTCTCTACATGATCTGTTATCATTAAATGCAGGTGCCCACCTCCCATCAGAAGTGTGGTGTCACCTTTCTGGGTGAATCAGCAGCATTTGGGAGTGAAGGCTACAGCCTTCCCCACTTGTGCTCCTGTCCTGGTCTGCATGGCCCACAGGGAGAGCAGTTCACTAGGTGGCTTGGGCTGTGAAATGTGCCCCAGGAGCTGAGCGAGCTTGCTCTGGAGAGGAATGTGGCTGCTCAGAGGAGGTTGTCCATACTGCCTATACCTTCAGGGCTCCATCTCACCGCCATCACAGGTCTCTCCTGTCTCCAATGGAGACATCCTTCCAATAGGCACCTGCATCTCTGGGACTTGTGTGCAGTGGAGGGACACATTTGTATGAGTATTGCAGGCACTGCTGATGCTGATGGAGAGGAAGAGACTGGCTCTGTCTACAGGGGAAGTCCTGCTCTGTGCTGAGATGTCAGCGCGGAGGAGGCTGCTGCTTCTTAAGGGCAATTAGTCACTAGTTTATTCTGAGCTGAGGAATTCAAGGTTAGATGAAAAGGAGTGCTACAGCTTACGAACACTCAAAACAATCCTGCCCTCAAAACATCCCTGTGGGAAAACCATTTCAGCTTCTTTTATTACAAGCCTGTGTTTATCCATCACACGTGGGTAATCACATCTTTGTTTCCTCTTGGTGTAGGCTTTCTTCTAGCTTGGTAATCATTGAAATGATGTTATGAGGTTATCAAATCTTAATAAAACCAAATGCAGCTTTCTTTACCTTAATGTTGTCTGTAGAACTGCTTTGTATCCTGAAAACACCAGTTGGGCTGAGCTATGTGTTGGTGTTGAAATAAAAATGTCTTTTAGTAAATGTAGTTGATTTGCACTAGTTCAGCCTAATTTATAGAACAAACCCATGTAAATTTCCCAAAGGTGGTAGTGAGTATTAAAAAGAAAAACCACTAAGGAAGTGAAATTGATTCTAGACTTCTCATTTTAATTTGTTTTTAAATCAGCAGTATTACCTTCCTCCATCTACTTTGATGCAAATTGCTATTGCTTATGATACTTCTTGGCATTGCAGGATATGAAATATTATTTCCTCTTTTTATGGCTTTGTTGGTGTTGATTTTTAAAGCTTAAAGTTACGTAGATGCTCTTAATTTTCCTGGTTTTAATTTAGGAGCCTCTGAGTTTTGCCTGGAGAAGCAAGAGGCCGATGTTCCTCAGGACAGTAAATGTGGTTGAATGGCTGGCACAGAATCCAAAAGGCTGTGGCTGCCTATTATAAAGATCTGAGCTGGCATGAGCTTTCAGCCTGTTCCTATTGAATTCAGACAAAGGACCAGCCTTCTTTCCAGCAGATTTATGCTGGGTTTGCTAGTGTCTGCCTTCCTTCAGCCAGTGTCCTTGGAATAAAAAGTAGCATGCCTTTTATTGTGATCAGGCCTGTGTGATCGGATATGGCCTGCCAAGGAGCAGTTCTTGGAGGGTTTCAAGGCTCAGTGAGATGAAGACATGGTTGGTCTGATGTCACGTTGGTGATGTTTGTGCTCTGAAGTTGAGGTTGGTGTAGAGCTCTCTGACTGCTCCTCCTACCTGATGCTTCTGTGGCTTTATGAAAAGACCAAATGTCATAGATCTGGTTAATGAATTTAAAGCAGTGATCTGAGGAACATCTCAGCTGTGGAGATGTTTCTCAGGTCTAAGTGTGATGCTGATTGTTGTGTTTCTCCAAAGAGAAATGGGACAAAACTGAAAGGGGGTTGTTGTGTGTTCTCTGGCCAGGAAAAGATGCAGGATATATATTGGCTGCTGCGAGTGTGCATCCGCACCATCGAGCATGGGGACAGGACAGGCTCACTTTTCGCTTTTATGCCGGAGTTCTACCTCAGTGTGGCTATGAACAGCTACAGTGCACTCAAGAACTACTTTAGCCCTGTAAACAGCATGGAGGAGCTTCCAGGTAAGGGGATGAGGAGTCTTTGCCAATTCTGGCCTGATAAAGTGTAAAGCAAGCTGCGTCCTTACGGTGAAGTAGTGGTAGTTGAGCATCACCCCTTCTGTGTCCTTTCCTGGTTGGTGTGCTGCATCAGTATGTTATCTGTGTCCTGTGGGGCAGGCACTGAGTGCTGTTCCTTGAGCAGATACCCACTGGTGAGCCGTGCCTTTGCTGTGCTCAGGGAGGTGCCCATGCCTTGCCCATGCTTTGCCCAAAGCTGTCAGTGTGAAAATCATTGGCAGCTAAAAATTTTGTTTCCGAGGAGGTACCAGGAATGGGCTGGGATGCTGGAAGATGTGACTGCCCCAGCAATGTGTGCCACTACATGCTGCTTTCTGTGTGGGAGGGGAGGTGCCCTGTGTGCAAGAATTGGGACTGCTTTAGAATCCTCTTGGGATTTGGATATGTTCCTATCAAGATACCACCCAGTGGGTGCCAGAGTCTTTTTAGGTAGATTCCCTCTGTGTGCTTTCTGTGCTTTTCCTGGCTCAGTGATCCCACTAAGCTCTTAGTTCTGTGCTTTCCAGAGCCCACAAAGGTAAGAAGAGCTTCTGTCCTACCAATAAGACATAGCTAAAGTGTTCAGATCCATTAAGTGGGAGCTGTGCCTGCTGCTCAGGGAGCAGCAGAATTGTGTTAGCAGATTTCTTCAGGGCCTGCAGGCTGGACATGGCTTTTCAGCATAGATCTAGGGTGTTACTTGTGTGGCTCAGCCCCTTCTGCATTAGTCCTCTCTCACTTGCTGTCTGACTCAGCTACATGGTTTTACCTTTCTCTGAGTAAATGTTTCAGACTCTGCAGACTGAGATGAGAAGCTCTGTTGAGAGATGTGTTTTCCCAGCTGTCTGCTTTGACAACTAGACACACCTCAAGGCTGGAGTTAGTTGTAGCAGGAATGAATTCCATGGACTGTGCCATGTCCACAGGAATGCTGGGGCCACAGGGCTGCCCATTAGGCTGTTGGTGTGAACCCTGCTCCCTCTTTCTCTTTGCAGGCTATGAGGAGACCCTGATGCGCCTTGCTGCCATCCTGGCCAAGCATTTTGCTGACTCAAGGATTGTGGGCACAGGTAAAACTGCACTCCTCTGCTTTGGAGTGATAATGTTGCAGGTCTGGCTGATCCCACGGCCAGAGGCTCACCAGACTGCTGTTGAGATCTATCTGCTGACTCTTTTGAGGGCTTTATGTCTTAGCGTATAAAGAGATGCTGGGCACTGCCCTTGTCTGGCCTGTTCTGCTTCTTCCAGGATGAGATATATGACCTAGGATACCCTTCTAAGAGTCTTTTTAGTTTTAAATTCTAAGGTGTCCACTCTGGGGTTATTCCTTAGCTGCCTGAGCATTAGCATGCTCTCCACATCAGCTGGGACAGTGTGCCTCTCTAAGTGAGGATCAGTCTCTCCTAGCCTCTGGTGTTGAGGTGCTCTCTGGTATGCTGCATGTCCTTGGGTGCCTGGCCTAGTCCGTTCTTATTCCTCCTCAGACATCCGGGACTCCCTGATGCAGGCGTTGGCCAGCTACGTCTGCTACCCCCACTCACTGCGTGCTGTAGAGAGGATCCCAGAAGAGCAGTAAGTGCTGCCCTGCCTGTTCCTGGGGAGCTGGGGCAGGGCTGGAGTGGTGGCAGGGTGGCTGGTGGAGCAGGTGAGCTGCCAAGCACTGTTGAGGGTCCAGAAGCTGCAGCAGAGCGCTGGAGTTGATTTGAGAGCCTTCTGTCACTCTCATACCAGTGGCTTTGCTCTGCCCCAGCTCCGTAGGTTGTACTGTGTGTCTTATTTAATCCCCTGTCCCCAAACCCTTTGAGCTGACTTAAGTCCTTCTCCGGCAGGCGGATCTCAATGATGAAGAACCTCCTGGCTCCCTATGAGCAACGACCCTGGGCACAGACCAACTGGATCCTTGTCAGGCTGTGGCGGGTGAGCATCCTGTGTCCTTGCCCTTCCCAACATCTGAGAACATTTCACTTCCCACTAGCAGGAAAAACCCAACTGTTTTCCAGGTTCTAAGATCTTTTCTTATCTCTTTTACCAGGGCTGTGGCTTTGGGTACAGATACACACGGCTCCCACACCTGCTGAAAACGAAGCCTGAGGATGCCAGCCTCCCCAGCCTGCAGAGTGAGTGGGGCAGGGGATGGGCACTTGGGATTATGATGAGTGGTGAGGCAGGACCAGCCTCTTCTCTCGTAGCTGTCCCTACCATGGGCCAGGCCAGCTTGTGAGGTGGCTGCTGAAGTAGAGGAGTCCTGATCAAATATTCAGGCCTGATCATTGTAGCCTGGACATCTGCAGCTTTTCTGCACTGGCTGGTGACTTTTTTGCATGCTGGGTGTTGGGTTAGATCCATCCTGAGGAGAGGTTCTGCCCTTCAAGGAAGAGGAGAGAGGTCCAGGGCTGCATCCTTACAAGAGCTTTTCCCCAGCATGTAAGCCAGGGAGAAAGCTCTCCGATGTCCACAGCTGCTGTGGGGAAATGTTTACAGGTGTGCCAGGCAGTAGGTACCCCATGAGTGGGAGTGGGTGCCCAAGGAGACAGGGCACTGGGCAAGTTTTTAAGCAGGAAGTGTTTTAACCAGACATCTCTCATAGAGCCTGGTGGAGCCTGTCCTATCTTTGGCACTGCAGTTTGGTTCTCAGTACTGTCACCAAACTGAAGGATTCCTCAGCTCTGTTGTGGCTGAGAAAGATGTGGAGAGGAGAAGGTACCTTTCTTGAGCTGAAGAATATGTCCCCAGCTTCACCCTTGCACAGTCTGGGCATGTTCATATACATTCCTGATCCCCCTCTGCTGTGGAAAAGGCTTTGTGCCAGACCTCACACCTGTAGAGCAGAGGGTGCTGCAGCCCGACGTGGGCAGGCAGCATGTGGAGGTGTGCACTAAGCTCTGTCCAGCAGCGAGAGCTGCCAGTCTCTGTTTTTAACTCTGTTTTAACAGCATTCTTGTTCTCTTTCTCTCTCCTGCCATGGGTGCTCAGGAGATCTCTCTGTTGCTAGTTTCCAGAGTAAGTTTGTCGTGTGACCATCTCTTGTCTGGTGAAGTAGGTTTAGAGAACTCCTTCCTTCCCCTCTTCAGTCTAGAGACCTTTCTTGAGAGCAGAGGGCTCCACACTGTGATCATTGTTCTCAGTTAAGTCCCTGGGAGATGCCTGCAAGCTGGTGCCCACATGGCAGTCTCTAGGGCTGCATCGTGGACTTGCTCTTACCAGGGTTACCTCTGGGGTCAGAGTCCTGCTACAGGCTGTGCCAGCCTTGGATTCCTCTCATCCTTGCAGGATGATGGGGAAGCACTGCTGACTGTCTCCTTACCCTCCTGCCACACAAACAAGTCTCTGAGTGGCTGCCAGCAGTCCTGTGGGGCAGTGACCAAGCTCACCTATCCTGGGGAGCTCTGGAGCAGAAGCAGAATTTCCTCAGCTTGCGGAGTCTCTCTCCGTCCATCCCTGGGTGGCTCTGCAGTCTGATCCCGGAGGGGGCTGGGTTGGCTACTGGGGACTTGCTCCTGGGACTGCTATTTTAAGGTGCAACCAAATCAATAATAAATGCTGATTTAATTGAAAAGGGGCAGGAGACTCAAAGGTGTCCTTGAATGCTACCCAGGGAAGGAGGAGGCGATAACCTCCCTGCCTGCCCACCCATCAGTCTTCACCTTGTTGCAAATTGAGCATTGGCAGGGACAATGGGGCAAAAAAGAAATCCCTGTTTGTCTGGGGCTGCTTCTGCAGGCAGTCTGAAGGGAGCTTGGGCAAATGCCTCTTCTCCGGTGTTGTCCTGCTTTGGGAATGCTTCTTTGGAGGACTGTGCAGGTGGGGAGGGTGTGCTGGTGCTGCCTTGCCATATCTGTGAACAGTCCTATGTTGCCTTTTGCCCATGCTCACTGATGGTGAGCAGTGAGATGGCTGCTTGGGTTAGCCCAGGTTGGGGGAAGGACTCAGAAAGGCCGTGTGTGTTCCTGCTTCTGTGTTCCTGCTGCCTCCCCAAGTTGTTCCTTAATCCTGCTGGCACAACAGCTCTCATGCAGGCAGAGCTCTGCCTTCAGTTTGGCTCCTGACAGCAGCTGGGGGCTCTGTTCAGAGGCAGGGGCAATTCTGCTGTAGAAACTTGGTTTACTTTCATTATGACTTCTAGGCAAGGCCGGGTGCTGTTTGGTCATGAACACAGCGATCAGCAGCAGTGGCCCTGTGCCAGGCCCAGCATGTCTTATTTCACCAAGCTGCAGGGTGCCTCCAGGTTGCAGCACAGGGCTACTCTGCCCCAGGCCTTCTGCCCACACATCCATCAAGCAGTGAAGGGTAGGTGGATGGGACCATGAGATCATCTGAGCTGAGCTGTGGTGCAATGCTGGCCAGAAAATATACCCACAGTCCTTTTCCAAGCCTAGAAAATTGCCCAAGCTGAAGAGTTCTTTCAGGAAGAAAACCCATCTTGATCTGACAACGCCAAAGGCCTCAACTGGTGGCAGTTGAACTCTCCAAACCCTTCTGATGGTGGTTCCTCATCCTCAGAAATAAATTCATCCTTTTCCTGATGAGAATGTACCTAACCTCATCTTCTGTCTTCCACTGCTGTTGCTCTGCCTTTCTCTGCTGAATTCAAGTGTGCATTACAACATTTTGTTCTTCAAAAGTGCTTGTGTTCCAGCGTAACCTCATGTCTTGGTCCTTTCTAATAGTGAAAAGAAAGTGCAACCTCTGTGTCTTATTCAGGAAGGGGGTTTGGTTTTCCATGAGCCCTTCACATGTTTTAGCAGCCCCAGAGGTGCAGTGTCATGCTGTCTGGAATGCTTCCATGATCCATCAGCTTTGTGATGGATCATGTGATGGAGCATGTGTGAGTCCCAGGTGTGTGCTGGGGTGTCCTGATGCCTCAACCTTATTGATGATGATGCACTCAACCTTATTGATGCCTCACCCCTGCAATGCCTCTTGCTTTCCTTCTGCCTCACCCTGTAACATTCCCTTCAGTGTTCTAAATGCTGCAGTGTGTCCAGAGACCCCCCACTTGGGCTGCTGACCAAGGAGTCTCACAAATAACCCTCTTATAAATCTTCTTGGGTCATTAGCAAATTATAAAGTACATGATCGTCTTTGTGTGATGAAAGTCCATGACCCTGCTTCTTTACAGTTATCTAGCAGGAGCACTTATTGAAGGCTTCCACTCTGTCTGCTTTATTAATTTTTAACTCTATTAATGGGCCTCTGCTGCTGTCAGACTTTCTCCCATTACTACTGGGTTTTTTTTACTAATTCTGCTAGATTTTTTCCTGTAGTTGAAGAAACTTTGCATGGAGCCTGTCAGGGATGTTTCTTTTATGTCTTCTCCTTCTGTTACCCCTTCTTGTTTTCATCAACTACTGGCTATGTTTGGTTATGTTCATTTTCCACTTTCCATTTTAACTTAAGTCTTTGTTTCATCCTGATCTCAGTAAGCCTTTTAACACAAGTGCTTGCTGTAGCACTGGAGCTTTCTGGCTGCTTAATATCTTCTTAAAGATCTCTGTGTTTTTATTCACTATTCCCCACACACACACCCCCCTAGATTTCTTTTTTCCCCTGGGTCTTTTGCTTATATTTTTACAGGAAAGTTTCTAATGTGGAAACATCGGTTATATCTATAACCACTGGGGTCATACTCTGTTGCCCACATTAAATGTATTAAAGTCATAATTTCTGGCCTTGGAAAACCACTGATATCTGTTCCAATGAATGATCTTTATCTGTCATAATGAAAGCTAAGCCAAGATTGAGTGGCTTTTGTAGTAGGGAGTTACAAGTTTTAGAAACACTAATGACATACATTGTCAGGATCAAGAATGTAACCACATCAATAAGTGTCCACAGACTCCCTATGAAACAATCTCCCTGTCTGAAAATGGCACATGTAGGGGATGTGTCATTACCCAGGAAGGCAGTGGGAGCTGAGACCTGAAGGAGGTGGGTAGAAGTGCCTCAACAGAGAAAACCATCTTGCAAATGAAGATAAACACAGCACCAGGACTAGGTTTCTGGATACCACTACCTCATCCTAGAACTCATGCAAGAAATGAAGCTGCTCTTGCTGTATTCCAGGGCTGGTTTCTTATATTGCTTTCGAGAAGTAGCACTGACAGCAGCATCTTTAAATTCAGAATCCTCTTGGGAGCAACAAAAGCCAGAGAAGTTCACTGTTTCCAGTGTTAGCTTAAAACCTTAAAAAAACCTACATAATTGTGGAGCAGTTTGAAAACAGGCACCATTTTTTAGTGCTTTTATAGATGGGCACAGTCTTTGCCAGCAGCAGGGAAAGCATTTAAGAACCTAGAATTGGAGGTTTGGAGCAAAGTCATACCACTTATTGGAAAAAGACCATGAGGAAATAGTCATTGGCTAATAATCAGGATAAAGCAAGTTATTGCAAGCATAAAAGCATCCTTCAAAAAGCCAAAGCTGCCTTCTAATGAGGTAGACTTTGGCTGGGTGATTCATTTTAAGATCTGTCCTGACTTGAAATGTTGGTAGAAGAGGCTTTGGCGACAGACCAACAGGTCAACCCCCAGAGCTTATCCATGAGGAGTGGTGATCCTTGCTTAGAGCTGCTTTGGTATTTGAAGGCTGGAAGGGAGCTGGTATGGCAGCAGTTTTAATAAAAAGTACTTTTTGTATGCTGAGGGGAAGCTGGGGAAAAGAAGACATGAAAAACTCAACCCTCCAAAAGGACCTTCCACTTCTGAATGACTGGCAGACAAAATGCTGATGGAATTCAGCATCACCAGGTGTGGAGGGGTAAATGTGAAAGGAAAATGTGGTTAAAAACCAGTGGGCTGCAAGCTCTCATCTGTTCCCTGTTCAAGCTGGTATCTTCCATAACCCCTTTAATGGTGTCCAGGTCCTTATTTCCCAGTCAGGAGTGAGATTTGGGGTCATTCTTCCCCAGAATTTTCTCCTTTATGTTGAATACAATCAAGTTTTTTGTCCCAGTCCTCAAGTTTCTCAGGGTGCCCCTAGGGCATTGGACAAAGCTGCTGGTTTAGTGTCAGCAGCAGATTTGGTAGGGGTGTGCTGTACACCATCATCCATCACTGTCAGAGAGGACGACGAGGTTGGTTCCAGTGTTCACTCCTGGGCTTCTCCACTTGCGCCCTGCAAGTTCCTGAGGGTTATCCTTGAACTGCCAACCTATTGCAGTCTTTCGAAAAATAGCAGCTTGATGCCCAGTCCAAGGAACAAATCCCACTACAGCAATTCTGAGGAAGGAAAACAGAACAAAATCAAAACTACATTAAACTACATTATGCCTTCCTGCAAATCTGCCACATGCTTGTGGTCTGGATGCTGTGTGAGCTTCTGGTTCCACTTCTTCAAAGAAAATCTGGGAGAACTGGCAAGGCTCAGGGAGGGATGGCAAAGGGAATGGTTTCTATATGAGAAACTGAACAGGCTGGGGCTGTTCCCATTCAGAAGACTATTGTGAAGGCTTGGAATCATGGCTAGCTGGAGGAATTGACTGGAGAGCAGTATCTTGCTGTCTCTCCCACCAGGAGATGGTTGCAAAGGATAAATACCAAATAAAGTGAGTAGGCACCAAGCTCAAATCCAAATTCATCCCTCTGCCCACAACTGGGCTGTGAAATATTGCTCCAGGATATGTTCAATCCTAAAGACTTACACAGTTTAAGGGGGTGCTGGGCAAGAAATCGACTGAGGACCACTAAATATGTATAAAGGACATCCAGCTTGTGCAGTCCCTGAGCCATGTGTAGCCAAGGGCTGAGAAAGTATTTGTGGGTGGGACCAGGACATCAAAGATGTTTGTTGTGATGGAATCCCTCCCAAAGATGTGCTTTTAGGCAGGATCAAAGCCAGGGCCTGCCCAAAGTCATTATGCACTATCAGCAGTGTCCTCCATAACAACTTGCTAGTGGGTATCATTTATCCTGTTTCTATTGGAGCTGATGGTCTCCTACCATTCCCTTCTGGCTTTGCTAATCCCAGCTAGCAATCTGCCTGTAGTTATGCCTTGCTTCTCAATCCCTAGGGGTGTGGTGGACGTCACCCTGTGTTTCATTTGCCTGGGCTGGCCTTTCAAGAAGCTGCCACCCCAAAGACACAGCATGGCTTGTTCCTCTGGGCACCACAGTGCTGCCAGAGCTTCCACATGCTCTTACAAATAGCTTCTAGTAGAGGGAAAAGTAGTTAGATTGGGGGTTTTCCCTGTATTTCGTAGATCTGTTCAGGTTTCTTTCTCCAAGCCCTGAATTTTAGCCTGTGGTTTGAACTTTCATACCCTTCCCATATAGTGTTTAATGCTCTTGTGAGCCTTTCACTGACAGTGAGTCCTTCTGCTCATGAGAAGCATTGGTTTCATTTGTGCCCCTTTCCTTTCCCTGTGTGGCGATGGCACCAGTGCCCCACAAAACCCTGACTGTTTCCCAGCTGCTGTGTCTGTCCCCCTCTGTGCTCTTGATAGTGAAAAAGCCCCAGGGTGATAGGCCGTGTACGGTGGGGATGTGTCTGGGCTCAGGCTGAATCTGGCCAGAGAGCATGAGCAGCTCTGCCTGAGTCTGCCCAGGGCAGAGCCAGCCCCAGCTCCATGCGGAAGCCTCTAAAGGGTGGAATTTACTAGGTACCTTCCTCCCTGGATGCAGGTAGACAGGCACGGCCACATGAGACCAAGGATGGCTGTGCTAGCTCCAGGCAGCTGCTGCCACACTGGTATCAGGAACAGTTCATGCTGAGCTGACCATGGGCTGCAGAGCTGAGCAGGAGGGATGCAGAGCTGCAGGGCAGTGCTTCTGTGCACATGGGCAGCAGTGAGCAAACAGGGCTCTTCCCTGGTTAATTCAGGCTGGCATTCCAAAAAAAGGGCTTGGAGGGTGAGGTTGCTGAATAGTCCCTGCACTCCAGCTTTCAGTGCCCTGCCACCTCTGATTACTATAACAACCAAGCCCAGGACTGGGCTCCCAGTGTGGCCTTGCCCCCCCACCCATGTCCACTCTGGGACCAGGCCACTGAAGCTGTCGCTGTCTGGTTTCAGAGCCATGTCCCTCCACCTTGCTGCAGCGGCACATGGCAGATCTGCTCAGCAGTGACCGTGACTTGGCCCCCAGCTTCCTCAACAGTGTCCTCAACCAGCTGAACTGGGCTTTCTCTGAGTTCATCGGCATGATTCAGGAGGTGAGTGTGCCACCCAGGGTCTGGTACTCAATGAGTGCTTATGTCCTACACACGGCAAGGTTCAAGGCCCAACTCAGGGTTGAGTGTGCTGTGGTTCCCTGGCATGTGTTGGAGCTGAGTGGGCTGGGGTCACAGACCTTCGTTTGGGAAGGGGGCACCTTGTTAAGCTGTCTTCATTGCTTGGCAGATCCAGCAGGCAGCAGAGCGCTTGGAGAGGAACTTTGTGGACAGCCGGCAGCTGAAAGTGTGTGCTACCTGCTTTGACCTGTCAGTGAGCTTGCTCAGGGTGCTGGAGATGACTGTCACACTGGCACCAGAGATCTTCCTTGACTGGAATCGACCATCATCAGAACTGCTGCTTCGGAGGCTTGCCCAGGTATCATCCTTTAGTGGAGTGAAAGGGCATAGGGGTCCCTCTGCCTTCTCTCCAGATGTGTTGTGAAGTGGGGACTCCTGCTCCAAATTGTGGAGTATTTATAAAGCTGCTACAGCAAACCCAGCTGCCACAGAGCAAGTGGTGCTCCCTAAAATCTCTACGTGTCAACTGCTCCCCTCCTTTGCAACTGCTGTGGTCACAGCTGATTTCTGCCTCTGCTGGGAAGGAGGAGGACAGCTACTTAAATCTTCCTTCAGAGAGGCTATGGCCAGTTCCTTCCACTCAGTAAATGCTGAATTCTCCTGTGTCGAGCAGTGTCATGAAATCTAGAGAAGGAAGCATGGTACATCAGAGCAGACTGCTGCGCAGAGTGTAGCTGGCTTCACAGGGATCATGCCCTCATGTTTGGACAGGCATCTTGATCTTTTATCCTTCATTCTTAGGATATGGCACCGAACATCTCCACTTGCCTGCTGGGGTGATCGTACAGCCCTGTTCCAAACTACAACAGCATTTAGGCTCCAGTAAATTGTTTCTGTTCTAAAGCATGGGTAGTCCTGGAAAGCCCAAGGGCAGGCTGCTCTTGTAGGAGCCAGCCTGGTGGAGAGCAGTTGTACATACCTTACCTATACTACCAGGGTTGGGTTGATACAAGGGTTGAGGCTCAGGACTCTGAGCAGACAAGTCAAAGCAGGACATAGTGGGGTCTAGTACAGTCGGGGAGTGTTCAGATTTGATCCTGGGATTTCTGTAGGGATCACTGTGTGAGGAGGAAAGTGAAGGGCCCTTAGCAGGTGGTTTAGGCAAGTAGGAGAATAGGCAGCAGAGAGCAGAGTACTGGAGCATCCCACTCATGTCCTCGTGGGATGTCCTATGTGTCCTGTGAAGCCATGCCCCACTGCTGAACATGCCCACAGAGGGGTGCAGTATTCTGCTTTTTGTGCATGAGGGCAACAGGAAGAGGGTTGCTGCATTTGAGAGATGGTGCTCAGCTTGCAGCAGTTGTGTCAGGCCTGGAGGCGACCCCACTCATCGCACTGGGGGTTTGGGTGAGAGCTAATGGTGGCTAGTGAAGTGTCTTTACAGTTGATCCCTTCTGTGCTGGTTACAGGCAGAAATCTCTGCCTGTGGCGATGTTCTCTCAAGCAGAGAAGCAGATTGCTCTCTCTGCTCATCCTGTGCTTCAGGGCTGGGAGGTCCATCCAGCTGCCAGCTCCAGGCAGGGCAGGACCTGGACTGTGCTTCACCCAACTGACATTGCTGTTGCCTACAGCTGCCAGTCTGCTCTTCACAGCCTGTGGGTGTCCTAGGAACTGTAGCTTCTGCTTGCCAAGAGTTTTTATCCACAGAAGTAGCTTGGCTTCTTTAGGTGGGATTCAGATGTAGGTGGAAGATGCTGAGATTCAGGTGGCTTGACCTCAGGCTGAGTTTTCCCTAGGAGGTTTGGGTCTGGTACAACCAAGGTGGTAAAGTGCCATCTCCATCATGCCAGGGCCAAACAAGGTCTGTGCTGTAAGCCTCCCTTGGTGCATTTACCTGCTCCCAGGCACCAAACCTGAACTGTAAGGATGTGCTGCCCCAAAGCGTGGTGTTTGGATGCTGCTTACAGAAAGGCCCATTCAGGTAATACAGACCCTCTCTGCTTTGCCCTGCACAGCTCTTGAACCAGGTGCTGAACCGTGTGACAGCCGAAAGGAACTTGTTTGACAGAGTGGTCAACCTCCGTCTGCCAGGTGAGTCTGTACATCAACAATGTGTCCCACTCCATGCTGAATGAATGCTCCTGGGAAGTGAGGGATGGCTTGTAGTGAAGGTCAGTGTGGAGGTCGGTGGGATTAGGCCACAGGAGTGCTGTCTTCAGAAGACATGTAAATCCTCCAGATGTAAATGAGTGTTGGTGCTCTTCCTAGGCCCTAAACCTTTGTCTGTTCAGCTCTGGTACCCACCAGGATCTCTGTTCCCATGAGGCAGCTGATACATGGGTCTGGCTGTCACAGTTAAAGGGGTGGCCATGCTGTGCTTATATAAGGAGGTGTCTTGCTAGACACTGATCTGACATAGGCTAGGTGGTGCTGTTTGAAAGATTCAAACCCTGGACAGATTGCCGTTTAGGTAGTAGGCTTGGTTGCTGGGTTCTGCATTGCATAAAGGGTGCACGGAGGGAAGCCATTCTTAGCAATATCAGTCCTCTTCTTTGTGGAAGTGACTGTGAGCAGCTGAGTTGGGTCTGGTAGCAGACTAGCTCCAGGTGCTGTGCTACGGGCATCCTATATTGCCTATAGAGCAGCTCTGCCTGTTGCAGTGGCAGCAGCTCTACCTTTCTCTTTTGCTTTCATAGGGCTGGAGAGCGTGGACCATTACCCAATCCTTGTGGCTGTGACAGGGATACTGGTCCGGCTGCTTGTGGACACTGATGCTCAGGGGTGAGTGGCTTTTGACTCCCAAAGCATGGAGTCACTGCATGTGGTATTGCTTTGGGTGCTGCGACAGTCAGTGCCATGGGAGGTGTTGCAGGAGTGATGTGGGTGCACGGGGACCAACAGAGTGAGGTGAAGCAGATGTGATGGAGCATGCAGAAACCAGAGTCGCATGCCCCTGCAGGAGCTGCATCCCAGTGCTGCTGGGTGTGAAACTCCTTCCTGTGGTGCAGGAAAGCCCTTCTGAGAGGTAGCTAGGAGGTGCTGTGCTGACAGCATATGTGCACCTTCCTCCTCAGTGTGACAGGACAGCTGCTGTTGGAGGCTGTGAGTGCTGCATGTAAAAGAGCTGTGCTGCTGTGGTGACACAGGCAGTGCTGCAGCTCACATCAGTGAGTGGGGGTTCATTAAATTTCCTTTACTCTGGATTTATCTCAGGAAGGCATCAAACGTGTGCAGAGCCCTCTGGCTTCCCAAACTTGTGACACAAAGTGAGACAAATCCTGCCCAGGCACTTAGGTGATGCTGGTTTTCAGATGAAGCAGATCTTGTCTTCATGGTAACCAGCTGTTCAGAGAGATAGCACTGGGGGAGTGATGGTGGCTGGACAAAGCTACATCTGACCTGTTGGTTACTGTGTGTCTGTGCCTGCTTGTACCAAGCAGGCAGATAAGCCTGTTCTAATACCCTCTGCAGCTCTGCATTTGTTCTCTTCCACTGTCGTTCGTAAGTGTCTTGCCTAGCCACAGCACCCTGTAGGGTGCTGTAGGAGATCAGGCTCTTCTGTCTGTGCTGTATATCCTGCTTGTTTTCACATTTGGAGAGCATGGTAATCTCTGGCTTTCTGGAGAGCAGAGCCCCATCTGGCCAAGCAGCTCAGCCCTGCAGCCAGTCTTTCAGCTTTTTCTCTGAAGGACTCAAAGATGTACACAAATGTGCCTAATGATATCCTGCCTCCGTGGCTGCTGCACCAGTCTCACAGCCCCAGGTGTGACAGTGCTAACAGCTTAGCACAAGGTCACTGATCAGTGGCCTTTTTGGACTGGGAACAGGGGGGAATTTTGCTCGCCCCCAGAATCCTGCTCCGTGGAAAGGGCAAACATCATGAATTTGATGCAACAACTAGACACTTCTTCCTGGAGGGAAGAGGGGATGTGATAAAGCATGTCCCTGCATGCCAGGCAGGATGAGAAGCCCTTCACTTGCTCCCTGAACAGGTTGCTTGTAGAGTCAAAGAGGAGAAGGGATAAAGCTTTTCCTCTGGCTCTCAGTGTAGCAAACTCTGAAGACTGTTGGGAAGATGGTAATGTGATAATCACATCCTTCCTAGCCTGCAGGTTGTCCTGGGGAGACAAAAAGCTTCTAGATTGTGTCTTTACCTGAAAAGCCAGTTGTGGTTTGGGTTAGTGAAACTGAAGTAGGCAGTGTCAAAGGGGCTGTTTGCCCCCAGGCCACATCATCCCCTGTCTGCCAACAGCATCCTCCATGCCTGGGGTATCAGCAGGCTGCACAGTCACAAACCAGAGGTGCTGTCTCCTCTGGAAGTGACGAGTCTCTGACTGATCTTCAGGGGCTTTGTAGTCACCTCCTTTGTCACTGAAAAGCAGAAATAAATACAAAATGGGGGAGTGATACAAGAAGGCTGTTAGCCTGCCTGGTTCCCCATGAGGAGGCTCTGCCCCAGAGGATGACAGGGAATGAGATCTTGGGTGACTTCCTTGGTTTTGCTGTGTTTTTTCTGGTTGCCTCGAACGCAGCAAACCAGTGCTGTAGCAGGCACTTGGTTGGAAGGTGAGCAAGCTTTGTCCTAGGACAGAGAAAGTGGGTTCATCTGGAAGTGAAGAGCAAAGTCCCGTTTATGAAGCCAGTGGAGAATGGGTGGGAGTAGAGAGCCAAAGCCCTGCCAGCTCACTCAGCTTCATTGTCAGGATGTAGTCGGATGCCTCAGCTGCTCCTTGCCCAGCACAGAACTCTCAGCCAGGCATCGAGTCCTCTTGCTGCAGACTCCTGGCATCAGAGCCATTAAGCACAAGAAAAGAGAACCTTGCCCAGGCTGGGATGTGATGAGGCAGTTGATACACCATACACCTTAGTCCCTGGATGGAGCAGGCTCTGCTTTTGAGAGAAATGTGTTTCCTCACTGGGAATGGCTGGTGCTGCTTGTGGTTTACCAAAGCTTCTTGCCCACTTTGTCCAGGCTTACTGATCTTTGTAGCAGGGGCTGGAGATTTTGTGGCTCAGCTCCCTCTCTGTAATGAACTTTGCAAATGGGGGCAGAAAATCAGTGCAGGGCACAGGTAGGGAGCTGCTGGCTCAAGCTGGAGTCTGTCAGCAGAGGGGGTCTTCTAGTTCATAGACAGGAGCATGGCAGTTGCCTGTCCCTTGAGGGCTTTCTGGGAGGGAGCTAAACCTTGTCAGCAGGTGAGAGCAGGGCAGCCTGGTGCTGGGGCCTGGGCTCACCAACAGACAACAGCTTCTTCATTTAAAACTATTTTGGTCTTTGCAGTGTTGTGATGGGACTTGCTGGGCATCCTGACATGCTGCTCCCTCCCAGCCTCAGGTCTGACAGCAGTGGAGCGGCACCTTCATTGCAGGGAGCCTCAGTGCCTGGCAGGGACAGGGAGGAGGGATACTTGTGTGCTGCCTGTTCATCAGGCCCTAATGACTGAGCCTTGGTTTTGTGGGAGGAGAGGGAAGGCAGGATCTGGCAGGCGGAGCAGGTATCATCCCCATGTTGGTCTGCTAAATAATTGAGCAGATTTTCTATCAAGCCTCTTCTGGAGTCAGCTAATGGAGCAGAGTTGGCCAGAGCTTGTGTAAGGATCCTGGCAAGAGCCAGCAGCAGGGGAAGGGGTGAGGCCCAAAGGTGAGGCTGTTGGTTCTCTGTGTGTGAGGGCATGTTGTAATTAGGACTGGGCATATGGATTGGAACAGGCTTTGTGGGAAGTGAGTGGCCATTCCAGAGCAGAGATGAGCTGTGTTGTGTCAGAGCTTGGCCACCATTCCACTCCTCAGCTTCCACCATGCCCCATTGACACCATGCCCTCGGAAGCATGGGGAGCAAGGCCAGGCCAGCATGTTCCTCAGCCTTGCCCTTGGCTGATGCTCTCAGTGTCAGTTAGAGCATTAGGACACATGCAAGGAGTCAGCAAGCCTGTCTGCAGTGCAACTGTACAAGAAAAGACCTAAGCAGCCTTCAAGGTGTATCTGCAAGAGACTTCTGCCCAGAAGATAGAGAAGACAGGAGGAAAGAGCCCTTCGGTCACCAGGAACGTGGTGGGACCAGCCAGCAAAGCACAGGATGGGGATCCTGGGCCAAAACCAACCACACTGTGCCAGTGGGATGCTGAGTATGGGTCAGTGGGACTTGCCAGGAGCTGCAGCACTGAGCTGATACGATGTCGGGGTAATTCTGTCTGGATCCCCACCACTCTTCTCCTTTGTACAGTACAGATGGGTGCAGAGGGACTGGCAGGAGGGTGGGGATGGAGAAGTTCCTTGGGCAGAAGTAACATACTGGTAAGCAGAAAGGTGAGGATGCACCAGGTGGGGAAGGCAGGCCAAGGAGGATCTGGTTTTGGGGTCACCCGCATTGGAAAAGTCACAGAAGATCCCAGCTTGCAGGTTCCTAAACTCAGCCTGGTCACTCATCTACATGCTTGAGCACTGCTGGGATTCTGGCAGGTCCCTGCTGGCCATGGTAGTTCAATACAGTCCTGTAGGACACTGTAATTACTGATCACTTAAATGCTAATGCTCCTTCAACATGGATTGATGAGCAAGCTGTGTTGGAAGAAGGTGCCAGGAGCACTCAGTCTAAAGGAGTCCCTGCATGGAGGAACGACAAGCTCAGACCTAGGTTTCATGGTTTAAAATGGAGTCTGGCCTTACTGATCTTAGTCTTTATAGGCTCCAAACCAGAGCAGCAGGACTGCCAAGGCTGGGATCTCCTGGCTCCTCGGGGCTATCGAGGACACACTGGGAAGCAGGAGCAGGCATTGTGTGGGCCAGCACTGGGCTTTTCTGCTTTGAGCTCTTTGGAAAGCTGTGGGGAAAGGATGCAGGTCCAGCCATGGTGTGTCCAGCCCTGGTGGCAGGAGGACAGGCAGGAACTGGCATTCAGTGCACCCATATTGTCCTGGTTGAGCTGTACTGGGGGAGACAGGAGTCAGCATTGGAAGCTGGTGGCAAAGCCCAGTCCTTATCCCTGTGTGTGCAGCACAGGTCCCTGTGTGCTGGGGACACTGAGCTTTGTGCTGATCCTTTGCTTTACCCTGCAGAGTCAAGGAGCAGGAGACCACTTTGGCAGCAAGCCGGGGCTGTAATGGTGCAGAAAGCTGCCAGGAGAGGACAGTGCATTCCCCTGAGAGGATCCATTACATTTCCCAACTCCCCCCTGTCAGGGAGGCAGTGTTCCGGGCTGTTTTTCCTTGCTGAGATGTTTTGCCTTTCAGGCTGCTTAATGAACGTCTTTGACAGTTCAGACTGCCTTGCCTTGCTCGTTGGAGCAGCAGTGTGGTGTGGGGATCCTGCCAGAGCATCCCCAAGGTGTGAAACAGCAGCAGGATTTTCCTGGGTAAAGGCAGGGGGGAGACCTTGGGGCAGCACTGACACAAACCTCAGGTGTGTTGTCCCCAACATAGAGGGGCTCAGACTCCCTGCAGGGATAGGAGTATTGCAGCCAGCCTAGAAGAGCTCCCCTGGACTTCTCCAGGCTGGAGGGTCCCCAGAGGGGAGCCCTCAGGAGTTTTTTCACACTCCAGTTTCCCCAGGGTTCAGTCATTAGCCACAGCCAAGGATGCAGGTTTGCGGAATGCCTGGGAAGTTGATGCTAGCACTAGCAAGAGACCTACAAGGATGGCAGGAGGTTTGGACCTGGGCCCTGTTGGCTATTTCTCTTTCCCAGATACTCCCAGGGCAGGTTCAGTCCATCCTTCCCGTGGGATCCCTGCCTGGGTATAAAACCAGGGGATGGTGGAGACCTCATAGCAACCTTCCAGTATCTG